TGTGAACCAAGTACAATGAGTAGAAACACTTCAACAGGAACCAAGAAGAAGCAATCTAGTGATACAGTCATTCATAAAGAACGAGCCATGGTGAGTTGCTAACCTTTGTGTTTTAGTGTTTTATCTTATACAAAACATATAGTTATATTTTGTGAATTTTTACAGGCTATGAAGGGTTTGGGGATTTTGCAGTCTGAAGAAACTGGAAGCATATACATGCGGGTAAGTGAGTTTAAACATGTTATAAGTCTTCAAATTTTCCATAAAAGAGGATATTCAATTTCAACATCTTGTGATTTCAATGTTCAGATTCATCTGGAAAGGGTATTCACTTTATACCCTCGAGAAAATCAACCCTGAGTAGCAAAAACAAAGGCAAGAGAACTGGAGATAACAGCCAAGGAGCTGAAAATATGGGGACTCAAGAAAGTGTAGCAGAAGCCTCATAGTGTCACTATCATTGCTATTTTGATTTCAATGTTCAGATGTTTTGCTACTTTGTTTTGCTACTTCTATGATGAATATGTGGTAATCAATTGTTTTGTTATGTTTATGATGGTTTAGGTGATAAGTTGTTATGGTTATGTTTTTGGTGTTATGGTTATGTTTTGGTTATGATGATGGTATGTATTTGACAAAATGTTTTCTACTGGTTATGTTTTGGTTATGGTTGTGTTGTGTTTTTTCTACTCAAGAAAGATTTTGTTATGTTTTTCTACTTCTATGTTTATGGTTATGGTTTAGGGTTGAAAATATGTTTTCTACTTCTATAAAAACCCAAAACAATTCTCATTTTTGATCAACTATCCTACAGAACACAACATAAAGAACAAAACAACAATTCTCATCACCAACAAATTATCCAAATGATCCAACCATTGCATAACACAACACATTAGAAAACAAAACAGATGAACAAAAGTACACCAATACATTCAGTTCATTACCAAAATCCACAGTCATCAGTTCATTACCAAAAGCCTCAACACATAACATTCAGTTCAAACCAATACACTACAACAAACACATAACAATCCTTCATCAAACCAATACACTACAACAAACACATCTCCTACTCATCACCAACACATCTCCTAAATCTCGATCAACTACCCTACAAAGTTCAATCGTCCCAACTCAGTGTATCCATTAGAACGATTGTCTCTTTTTGAATAAACCAATATCAGTATTATTAATAGGAGTATTATACTCCAAATTGCTGCCATTGCAAACATTCTTTGGAGCTTGCTTACTTGGACCATTGCAATCTTCAGCTTTTTCTCCATGTCTTCACACTTCAAGGTTTGAACCTCCAACAAATATTGAGTTTGCTCATAGAGATCTTGCACCTTGTCAATCTCTGATACCTTAATTTCCATCCTTTCTGTCATCAGATTTTCTATAACCTCTTTGCACTTTAATTGTTCTTCCAAACTCTTTTTCTAACCCATTAAGTTCACAAAGCAACCTTTCTGAAATGGAGGAAGACTTGGATCGATCCATTCAAAATGACCGCAGTTCTCAGGGCCCTATAAATACAGAATAAAAATGCAAGGCACTAAAAATTGACCACATACATGAAAATCACAGTAAAATGACCTTGGTAAAATGGCCCACCTTTCTTCGGCTACACCGACTGAACCTCCTCGCCGGATTTTCTTGAGTCATTGACGTAAACACGTCCACCCCATGCTCACAAGTTTTTTGACTTGAATGAGGCGAAACATATCGACCAGAGCTTTGAGAAGTCGAGGAAGACATGCTTTTTCTGTTCCGAAATTAGGGTTTGAGGAAATTTGGGGTTTTTTCGAATAGATCGTCGATTAAAGATGAGATCCTCGGTATTATATACACACTTGCGACGTGGAATATAGATTAGAAAAAACAATTGACACGTCTGAAAAAAAAGTACACGTCGATTAAAAAAGCCCGAGATTGGGCCCTGATCATAAATTTGCAAACAATAATGAAAGTGGTGCATATTTTTGCCAAGTTTAAAAGTGGATCATAAAATTGCAATTTTCTAAAAGGTCATGGTTTTTTAAGCAATTAGGCCTAACTCAAATATCTAAGATATTAGTATAATTATATTAAAATTTGTGCATGTAATAACTTCCTTTTTTCCTTAATAGATGCCTAATGGTATCAGAGTTGTCCTCAGAGTTGCCTAGATGGCTATTTATTTATACTTCTGTAGACCTGATGATATTTTCATGACGTGCGTCATGAATCTTATCAAACATACTGATTTGATATTGTTATGAACTTATGCATCTTGTTTTTTTTTTTTTTCGAAACGATAGATGTATTATAATCAAGGGGCACAAATGTGCAACTACAAACTGGGAGGACAGGTCCGGGGACCGCCTAGAATTTCAACTAGCCAAACTAGCATACAAACCGACTCAACAAACTACCCACAACTACAATCGCTCCCCACAGGAGAATAGGATCGGCCCCCACGGGGTAATCAACACAGGGGCCAACGGCCCAAACCAAAAAGACAATACATAAAACACTCAGGCAAGGAGCCCAGACCAAAAACACTAAACTAGAACAGACTCAAACAATAACAACAAAATCAAGAAACAACAAGGCTAAAAAAATAGATAGATAAAAAAAGCTCTTCCCCGGCAAGCTAGCAGGTACAACCAACAGTGAACGATCGACACCGAGAAAAGTCCCTGCTCGAGAAACCACTACCGAAACTGCGTAGCCGCCTATACAGTAGTCATAACTGAGCCACGAACCATTCCCAAGTCGACCCGTCTCCAACCGAGAGAAAACCATCCCAACCTCACCGGCCCTCCCAGAATCCGTCTAACACCACTAGTCGGACCGAAGAAGACCAGGACCCTGACCCCCCGATGCCTAACACCACTAGCCAGGGGGGAGGGTAGGCGGTACGACTCCTCCACCCCGTCCGCCGCAGTAGCCAGGGCCTCTCCCAACGACAGACCACACACACCACCAAAACTACAACAGACCCGGCGGCCAACAACCAGTCTCCACCGGAACTCCGTCGGAAAACAGAGACCACCGGAGGGAAAGCCAATCGGAGACAAAAATAGAGAGAGAGAGAGAGGGCATACCACCGTCCATGGAAGATCCACCGACGATCGGGAAGCGGGCATCCATCGCAGGCCAGAATCGGACCAAAGGGGCAGCACCACAAGCTCAGCTCCGCTGTCAATTTCACGCCAGACCACCGCGAAATTAGGGTGCTCCGAGTCCATAGCAGGGAGAGCAGTCAGGGACGACCGAGGGCCGAGCCCCACCGCCACCAAGGAAGGCAAATCGACGGAGGCAATAGGCGGCTAGGGTTTCGGGAGTTTTTGGGCGCATAGAGAACGGGAGTTTGATTAATAATTTCTTTAACTTATGCATCTTGTTGTTATGCGAAATTGTAACAACAAAACTGTACACCCCTATTCTGTGAATAATTGGTGTAAGATAAATATGGATTTTTAGTGATTTTTGGGAGATGAAGATCTTTCCCTTTTTCTTGAATTTTTGATGTCTTTTGTATGTATAAAAGTAAGAAAATTGAGGAAGAAGCCCTTGAGATGAGAAGCTTTATAAGTGTTTTTTATGAAGGAGAAAATTGAGTGGCACCGCCTCTGTTGTTTAGATAAGGGAACAAAAAGAGAAAGTAACCCCTCAGACTTATCCGTCGATATCCATCACAGGGGATATTTATAGACGTTCTTTGTCGGCCCGATATTATTACAAGCGGTATTATTCTTGGGCCTTAACAATAAGATAAATTACAACAATTGATTTAGTACAAATCCACGTGATTTAATATATATATCCACGTGTCATATCTTAATAGGTGAGGCCAAAATTAGGTATCAACACATCTGATTTGGATATGAAAGTCGTAAACTATGTGAAAAATAGGCGCATAATCATGAATACGCGGCGACCAGTTTGGATGTGCGAGTGGTAAAATATGCAAACAAAAAAAATGTCGCATAATCATAAATATTCGACGATGAATTTGGATATGCGATAACTATATATGAAAGATAATTTTGCATATAAAAAATTATGCGGCGGATTTAGATATGCGATTAAAAGATATGCTAGAGTATTTCGCATATTTATTAACTGTGCGCCCGAGTTGGATATATGTTGGTAATATGCGACAAAACCTCGCATAATTGTCATTTATGTGGTTCATTTGAACATGAGATTTTTATATCCCGTATCATTTCGTAAGTTTTGGTGTAAAAAAAAAAGTTTTTTGACAAGACAATGTATAAAAGAAAGAACATGTATATATTGGGATGTAATAGAAATTACTCATACAAATATACTTTTCACAGTTTGTTTATATGTAATAATTCTTTTTAAGAAATATTCTCCTGTCTTTCACCTCACAAACATTTAATTACTTGTGAATCTTTACAACATAGATCTTTTTTCCGAGTTTGAGGCCGCAAGCTCAGCAAGCGTAGGTACTCAAGGTCATCTTTTAAAGGATATTTTTTGGGTAATTTTTTTCTCTCAGGACATTCAAATATTATGTTATTATCATTATTTTAAAATTATGTTTCAACTTTCAATATATGACGCGAATAATCCAATTGTTTCCTCGGACAATAACCGGTGATTAGCACAAATAGTTTTGAATTAGTTGTCATGCAACAATAATAACAGTAATGACAATAACAATAGTCATCATAACAATAAATTAACAATAATATTTACTGTCGCCTCTCATTAATTCATGTAGTCCGAAGAAAATGCTCACTAACCAACCAAAAGGCTTCAAAAACATCTTTCACCCGTGCAAGAATACAATCTGTAATGCAGAAAGCCCGTAGAAAAACATACAAGCAGAACCCAACAACGAAAATTCCATACTGTATCCCTCAAAACCGATACCTATCTTCGGTAACACGGTCAAGAATGAAGCAACAAACAATTTCACTCCTTCCGGTACATAACCTCCTCCAAAAACTGCGGACGTGTATGATTTCTCCATTGTTTACTTACTTCCCTTTGGAAGTTTCGCCTCTCGATGGGCTGCTCTTCCCATCCTCGGTTTTTGCACGAGAGTTTGGTAACTTATCGTACGGGAACCAACATCTCAGCAAGTTGCGTAGCCTGTACTTGCAACGTGAAACGGCATCATCATCATCTGAACCCGACTTATCATCTTGATTGTCATCCACAATTTCAATCCGGTGACTTACATTGTTCTCGCCTTTTTGCTTCGGGCCACCTGAACTGCGCAAATCGTGTTTAAAAGATTTTAAAAAACTTGTTAAGGACAGGAAACTGAGAGAAGTAGCTTCCAGCTATAGCTAAATATGTAAAATGGATATCCCTGTAAAGTGAACCACACTAGAAGCCTAAAAAAAGGCATTTGACAAAAGAAAAAACGAGTCGAGGAAAAAAAATTAACGGCCAACGAACAGTGATTACAAAAGTAATAAGAGAAGCAAACAAGGAATACTTACAACGCGGGTTCGTCATCTGAATCAGGGTCCTCTCTCTCTGATTGGATCTTCACCAAATTGTAGGCAGTGGAAGGATGATGCACAAAATGCAGCTGAAGATGACAAAAACGAAAGTAGAATTGAAAATTTCTTCGTCTACTAAAATTATGACATTTATAGTTTGACTAGGATCAATATCTTCCTTGAGGGTTAATGAAACAAAGTTTTCAGAAAAAAAATTATCAAGTTTTGCTAAATATACTAACGATAGCCAAGGCCACGATGTACATTCTAGTATCATAGGTTCAAAGGAATAAGAAGCTGGTTCATTTTACAAAACTCTGTTAACACTTTCATCTTTAGGTTCTTAAAGCCTTGGTGATTTCTTCGTTGAGCAGGGATCTCTCAAGCTGAGAACTAGATTTATCCCCCATCAAGGTTCAAGTTCACACCTCCATTAATTCATCTTAAAATGTCCAAGTACTTTTGAATTTTAGAAGTCCATAGAGGGAGGTCGATTATTTTTGCCTTCCGGTTAGATTTGTCATTTTCTTTTGGAACCACGAGACAGTCAAAATGGGTCGATTTTCAGTTGATTGTCTAATTTGAAGGTTATTTTTTTTAACACGCAAAACTAAAGGCCAACCTGGTCGCCATCTTTGATGCCAAACAAGCTGATATGGTCACTGTCAGCCACTAATTTCTGGCCTTCATGACAAAGACAAAACTGGCCCCAAACATGTTCCCTGCACGCAAGTTCTTCAGTTTATTGGGAAGAATAGCAAAAGATATATCATCATGATAAATTTTTACAGCTTCACAACATTCATTAGCCTTTGAGAATATTGGCCATCCTTAACCATGGATAATACGCTATTTACCCAAACATAACATAGCAACCAAATTCTGAGACCGAGGCAAAACAACCACTTCTAAACTACTCATCAAGCACACCGTGTTGCTACAACAAAATGCCAATGTCACAGTGTTGTTAAAGCTTGAGATACAGAGAAGTGAGCTCAAGAAGACTTGTTTAGGGCATTGCTACTGTTCATACTCGCACAACCTAAAACTACTTCTTAGGGCAATGAATGATAATTCCAGGAGAAAACATCAAGATTCCAACAGAAATGCAAGTATAAAACGTTCGTTAACCAACACCAACACGATAAATCATCTTCCCCTATCCTTCTCTCCCAAGAAACTCATGAAAAGATGGATGCACCCACAGAACACAAACAGACATATATTAATATGTGAAAAAATCGTAAAAGTAAAGCACAATTACCATGAAACTTTACCAGGCCCCTCCTTTGGCAAATGCCGGAAAGCTGCCTCCACTGCCTTCTTCAACTCCTCAACTGTTCCTGATTTTGCTACCTCAATTTCTTCAAAAAAAAAAAAAAAAAGCCAAATTCGTATATCATTAATATCTCCATACTTTCCAACATTATACACGCACGCATTAACTTTCCCCAGCATTCACAAAACAATAGTAGACAAAAAAATCGTGTACTGCCAGAGAGATATCAATCCGCCATATACAAACACTAAAATGTATGAAAAAATGAAGGTAAAATCGAACCGTACCGAAAGACGAGCCGTCCAATTTGAGCACACCGAGCCTCAGAGGCTGCTGATGAAGCTTGTCGTAGGAAAGGCTCGTTCTCGGGCTATCGCTGTTCGGGAGGATGGGAAACAAACACGACATGGATCCAGTCGAAAACCGAGGCTCGTCATAATCGTCCTCCTCCTCCGGAATCTGCATCATCATCGGGACCCAAAAAAGGGGCAACAAGAAAAACGAAAAAGAACAAAAAAATTAATGAAAAATCCACCCGCCCGAACCCTAGAATTCAAATTCTAGCCAGAACAACACCCACGAGGTCGCCATTTTTATAGAACTCTTATCCAAAATTCCTCTGCTGTTCGTCTTTTGGCGGCATGATTGTGGCTGTACCGTGATTCTTAGGCGAGGAATTGGGGCTAGGGTTTCGCTTGTGTCGGGAGAGATTCTTGAGAGAGAAAGGAGCTTCGAATCAGCCTTTAATTCGTTTTGTTCTGTTTCAAATTTTGCTTTTCGTCGCCATGGTTCGATTTCCATGGACGACTGGTGACGGTTAATTTGGTTGGCCATTCAGAAAAAACTATCAAACACGCGACTTTCATGGCGCGCCTGAAAAATTACCAATTTGGGCCCCAGAGGATGATTTTGTTGGGCTCTGGTTCACTCCAATATCCATTAATAAAGCTTGCCGACTTCAAGATGAACCGTCTGAGAAGAAATGTCCCATTATGGCTATTTATAGAGTTATAGTGATTATTTATTTATATTTGAGTAAATTGCACCATATACAAGACATTATTTTGAGGAAATTGCATCTCATACTTTAAGTTATGATATATTATTAGTACAATACTCGTGTACTACACGATAATTGTTATGAAAACTATTTTAAAATTCAATAATTACAATAATTGTTTAAAATTAAATATATGTATTTATTAAACTATTTTGAGGTTTTCATGGTAATTAATGAGTCGATTAAGAGCTTCCAAAATAGATTAAGGTTATATTAGTCAATCAGTATAATTACCAAAAGATTCAAATACAACATAAGGGTTATATTAGTCAAACTATTATGAAATTACCAAGTTAGTTTTTCAATAATATTAATTTTTATCCAAAACTAAACTACGAAGTATGTTTTTTCGTCAAGTAGGATTACAAAGCGTGCGAGGCTGCCACTTAAACTCAGCGCATTCTGCAATTATATTATATATAAGAGGGGATTACATAAATGAAACCCAATTTTAAGTATTAACAATATACAAGATTTGATATTTTTAGTTGAAAAAGTACCAGATAGATAGAAAATGATTAATTTAAATATGCAATTAATATTCATATATTCCTCTTCCCCACGTGTCTTCTTCTTGTCCTTTCATCTTGTCATTTAGATAGGTTTCCAATTATCCTTTCTTCCTTAAATTCATATATTCTTCTTCCCCGTCTGTTCCCCGCGGCTCCTTCCCCTGATGCTTCCTTCTTTTTCCAATTGGCCCGTTTTCTTATTTAGGTCCAAATAATATTAATTGGGATCGGTCTTTTGCTACTCGGTTTTGTTCAGCTTCAGCTGCATTAATGGAGGGCGACGAGATTGTCTCTCCGAATTTGCTTACAGCTAATTGGATTTTTGGATTAGATTTTTATCTCATGGAAAGGCCGATTCCACATCCGATTCGGGCCATTTTTAGTCGGAGGGTTTGAAGCGTGAGGCTGTGTGGGTGGTTGTGTTGGAAGAGGGGTCGATGGTTGGTATGGGGCGCTGGTGAGGGTGGATCTGGTAATGGTAGTGTTTGTATATCTTTTGCATTATAATGACAAGATTGATTTTATCTTCTACATATCTGTTGTATATTTTTTTATGTCGTATGTATAGAATGAGTATATCTTCTGTATACAAGTCTTATTGTGTATTTTGTATGTATTAAACCAGAAAATATACTCTAAATATACAAAAAAAAACACGAGATGTAAATAACACAAAAAGTAAACGAAAAAAGATTACGAAAAAATAAAATTATTAAGTTTATTTCGTATATTTTTCGGACTTATATGTTTTATGTATATATTATGTGTATATTTCGAAAAAATAAATAGGACGTTGAAATTACAAATCTTTCGCTGAGCACGATATGAACAAAGTCCTAATTGTTAGGTAATACCACTGTTTTAAAAGGCGTATTACATTATCCATCGCGTTTTTGTTTCAAAATTGTGTAGAGTAGATAGTATAGCGTATAGCGTGGGTAATTCGAGCAAGTTATATATAAATTAAAAATAAAAATATAATTTATAAACAAAATACATAATAAAATAAATTAACTCAAATACTCCTCAATCATGCAAGTGTCTCAATATTAGGTTTCCTTCCAGTCCATAACTCAAATGGAGTTTTAGGAACTGTCTTATTAGGAATCCTATTTAGCATATACACGACAGTCTTAAGTGGATACATCAACAAAGATTTGGGTAATGTTGTATTACTTATCATAATCCTAATCATATCAATTAATCTTCGATTTCTCCTTTCTGCTACACCATTTTGTTGAGGTGTGCCTGGCATAGTATACTTTGCACATATGCTATGTCTTTCGAGGAACTTAGCAAATAGACCGGGATTTTATCCCGATTCATTATACCTTTCATAGTATTCACCACCTCTATTAGACCTTACAATTTTCACTTTTCTGTCTAACTATCTTTCAACTTCATTAATGAAAACCTCAAGTGCATTTGTAGCTTGAGAATTTTCCTTGTGCAGATAGACATAACCATAACATGAAAATCATCTATAAAGGTAATGAAATACTTTCCTCCATTGAAGGATGGAGCATCAAAAGGTCCACATATATAAGTGTGTATAATTTCAAGAAGCTGACTACTTCTTGTAGCTCCTTTCTTGTTATGTTTGGTTTGCTTTCCCTTAATGCAATCAACACACAACCAAGATCGATAAAATCTAGATCCAAAAGGATCTTATGTTTCACCAACCTTTGCATTCTTTCTTTGGATACATGACCCAACCGTTTATGCCACAAAAAAGCAGAGTTCTCATTTGCTACACCACGTTTAATTCCAGTGTTTTGATGAGCACATATCAAAGATGCAAAAAAATCAACATAAAGTTTCAGTTTATATAAACCATCCATAAGGATTCCAAAACCAATAACGGAATCATGTTTATTAATTAAACTAAAACATTCATTTCCAAACTTAAAGGAAAACCCAAGAACATCAAGTATAAAAAGAGATATTAAGTTTCTAGAAAATGAAGGTACATAGAGAGTTTGTAAAAGATCCAGGTGGTACCGGAAATCTAGAGCAATACGATAAGTCCCTATGTCTTCAATTGGAGCCTTCATACGGTTCTCCATAAACAAAAAGTTCTCATTTGGGTTTATGCTTTGGATTGTAAGAAATCCATGCATCACATTCGAAACATGAGTTGTAGCACCAGAATCCAATCATCAAGTATTTGAAGCAACCTCAGACAAGTTTGATTTGAAGCATAGAAAGGTACTATAAAAACCTTCCTTTTCAAACCAAGACATGTGTTTCAGGCAATCTTTTTGTATGTGTCCTTCTTTCTTTCAGAAATAACATTTATTTGCCCAAATTTCATTCTTTCCATCATTAGTGACCTGTGAAACTTTAGCAGGTCTTTTCTTCTTTAAACTTGTTGTATTTAGGTCTGGGAACATCGTTAGCTCCCTGACCCACAAGGTTGATCGTATTAACTCTTTGTGCCTTAAGCCTCGTCGCCTCATGAACAAGCTTACTGGCGAATTCATTAAAATTCCACTTTATCCTTAGGAGCGGTATAGTTAAAAGACCCATATTCAGAATGCAACAAGTTAAGCATAAATTGCACCAAAAAATATTTATCACAATCATGCCCAGGGACTTAAGCCTTGCTGCAAGATTAGTCATGTCAAGAACATGTTGTTGCATACTACGCGACCCATCATACATTTTGGTCGTATTTCAGCCATAAGTGTTCATGCCAATGACTTATCGGCGTAACGGAAATGCTCTTCCATAAGCAAAAGGTATGATTTCGCATCAACATTATATGGAAGAGTTAACTTGAAGTTGTTGGCAATCGTTATTCGCGTAAAGCTCAAACATAATTTGTTAGAACTGTCCCAAGCCTTACGGTTTGATTTCTCAGACTCACTGCTTTGATCAGTAATGTCAGCGAGCTTTTCATCAAGCAGAGCCAAGTCAATATCCAAAACACCTAATGGAAATTGACTTGCTCACGCCATTCAGAGAAATTCAGACCATTGAATACAATAACAAAAGAAGCTTGCGAATGAAGAGAGATAGTTGCACAATCATAAATGCTCACTCAATTAATAGATTCAAAAAATACATTCATAACATATATTGCAGGTCTCCTTTGGGTAAACATAACAACATATATCATTATCATAAGCCGAATGTCACTTAATACTTAATGAGAAAATAAATAAACTCCATCAAACTTATATAGTATCTTTGGATATCAACATATGCTCGACAAGATAATATTATATTTCTCTTTAATGTTTATTAGTTATATAATATTGATTCACCTTTGGGTAAATTCATAATTTCTAACAACCAATAAACTCATTATCTTGAATAAAGACATTCTCAAGAAAACATAAATTATATGACCAGATATTAGAAAATTAATTCGGCACTACAAAAAAATAGAGTTTTAGTGATGAATTTTTTTGTCACTGTATCTACAATTGTTGTCACTATGTTGTCACTATATCTACTGTCAGTATATCTACAGTTGTTGTCACTATAACTACAATTATTGTCACTATATCTATAATTGTTGTAGATATATGTTTAGTATATATTTGATGGGCAAAGGATAACCGAGTTACCCGACTCGGGTCGATCTCGAGGGAAGGCTATTCGGAGCTTTGTCTACTATATGATCGTCCAAATCACAAAAAGGGAAAAATGAAGTCCTAAACATTCTAAACGATTGATTGGGAAGTTGATTAACACTAAACGAGCACTTAAGAACGAGAAATTAATTGAAAGCAAGATCAAAAGACGAGCAATTCGCAAATTAAACCACCGGAATCAAAAGTCATAAACGCAACGGAATGGTAATCACATAACATTGTCATGCTAGCTAAACCCTAGGTAGATAAATCACACTCTAGCACAAGACGAGTAAGCATTCATCTCCTAATCGCACT